GACCACACCATGAGCCTACATGGGTTGGCTCATGGCACCAGTTTTCTTTCAATGTGGCCATTCTTAGCATTTTTCTTTGGTGAGGTATTACCTAATTTTATTTCGAGATAAGAATTTCTATTTTTGTTTTTGTCTCATTATCTATGTATGCGCTAAATTCAAAAAATAACTTCAAAATAATTTGAATTTCTGTGTGCTACCTAAAATTTGAATTTTTTTGATCAAAAGGTAATTATTTTAGTATATACCAAAAGTAATGAAATTTTAAAAAATTCATTGAAATTACACGAAAAGTGAGAACCATTCGGTATGCTGCGCAACTAGTGCTTGCAAAGAGTATATATTGCTCATTACGAGCAATAAGGGACACTCGACCACACCACGAGCCTACATGGGTTGGCTCATGGCACCGGTTTCCTTTCGATGTGGCCATTTTTTAGCATTTTTCTTTGGTGCGGTAGCACCAGATTTTCTTTCAAGACGGGAATTTTTGTTTTTGTTTTTGTCTCATTTCTGTATGTGCGTTAAATGCAGAAAAATAACTTAAAATATTTGAATTTTTGTGTACCACCAAAATTTGAAACATTTTGATCGAAAGGTAATTATTTTAGTATATAGCCAAAATAATGAAATTTCGAAAATTTCATTGAAATTAAATTAAAAGTGAGAAGCATTCGGTATGCTAAGCAACTAGTGCTTGCAAAGAGTACATATTGCTCATTACGAGCAATAAGGGACGGTCGACCACACCATCAGCCTACATGGGTTGGCTCATGGCACCAGTTTTCTTTCAATGTGGCCATTCTTAGCATTTTTCTTTGGTGCGGTATTACCTAATTTTATTTCGAGATAAGACTATTTTTGTTTTTGTCTCATTATCTGTGTCTGCGTTAAATTCAAAAAATAACTTAAAAATAATTTGAATTTCGGTGTACTACCTAAATTTTGATACATTTTGATCAAAAGGTAATTATTTTAGTATATACCAAAAGTAATGAAATTCAAAAGAAATTCATTGAAATTACACGAAAAGTGAGAACCATTTGGTATGCTGTGCAACTAGTACTTGCAAAGAGTATATATTGCTCATTACGAGCAATAAGGGACGCTCGACCACACCATGAGCCTACTTGGGTTGGGTCATGGCACCAGTTTTTCTTTCAATGTGGCCATTTTTAGCATTTTTCTTTGGTGCGGTAGCACCTAATTTTCTTTCGAGACGGAAATTTCCTTTTTTTTTGTCTCATTTTCTGTGTCTGTGTTAATTTCAGAAAATAAGTTAAAAATAATTTGAATTTCTGTGTACCACCGATATTTTGAAACATTTTGATCGAAAGGTAATTATTTTAGTATACACCAAAAGTAATGAAATTTCAGAAATTTCATTCAAATTACACTAAAAGTGAGAAGCATTCGGTATGCTACGCAACTAGTGCTTGCCAAGAGTATATATTGCTCATTACGAGCAATAAGGGACGCTCGACCATGCCTTGAGCCTACATGGGATGGCTCATGGCACCATTTTCTTTCGATGTGCCCATTTTTTAGAAATTTTTCTTTCGTGCGGTAGCATCTGATTTTCTATCAAGGTGGGAATTTCCGTTTTTGTTTTTGTCTCATTTTCTGTTTCAATATTTTTTCCTTTTTGTTTTTTTCTTTTTTTTTCACCATTCTTTTCTTTTACGTTCTTCCTTTCTATTTATAATTTTATATTATTTTCAGAGATAAAAAATGTTAATAATTTATAAAGTGCACGAATATTTTTCTTAAAATGACAAAATAATTCTAATACATTAAAAATTACGAAAGTACATTAAAAAAGAACAATTTCTGGAATGCATTATTGTTTTAAATGAACATTTTTAATATGTGATTTATAAAATAAATAAACTCCTTTTACTTTTATATGAACATTTTTTAAATATGCATTCTTTCCAAATTACATGAATATTTTTTAAACTGATTATTTATTTTGCTACATTTTTTTAAATAAGCAAATATTTTTTACTTATTTTTTGAAAATATGTACACTTATTTAATAGTTGTAAGAATTAATAAATAAAAAACTTTATACTCCTATATTTATTTTTTAATATATCTAAAGATATAAAAGGGAAAAATGAAAACCAAAAAAAGAAGAAAAGGGGACACGGCCAACGTTCGCTAGTTGGGTCTGTCCCATTGGACTATACGCCATTTATTTTTCACTAAGCTTGTGCAGACGGCCGCAGGCCCAGCCCGTACGACTGTCTAGCTCAGTGAAAAGTGCGACTGGCGAACAAACTAATTAAAAGCACCTTTACCGTATGTACAATGGCTGATAAGATAGTTTTATCTTAAGTTTTACATTAATTTAGATATGACAAAAAAATGTCTACAAACGGTGTTCTCTCAGCCTTATTTTCAATAATTACCTATTCTTAAAAACTTGGTGAGACATGTTGTGCTAAGAGATCATCTCTTGTCTTCTCTTAAATAAGAGAAGACAAACCTTTTCTTATAAGTTCTCTCTTTTCCACCTCATCATTTAGTCTACGTGGCGGTCCTAAGATAGAATCATTGTGCATGTCCTTACCAGATTGTAGTTGGATGGTTAGAGGGACAGTGATATTTCTAGCCCATCAGATTTAAGTCCTGGTGCTCGCATTATTTCTGTATTTATTTCAAGATTTTTGGTAATGCACTTTCAGTGGGAGGAGACGTTCCCGTCGACGGCGAGACGCCCACGGTGACGTCGTAAATCTCACGATGATATACCGGCTCAGTCTCCGAAGGTGCTCAGGGGCAGGGTGTGCGTGCGTGCGTGCGTTCATAAAGGTGAGTGTATGCGTTTATGTATGAGCTTTTGCGTCTGTACTGTGTTTTAAAAAAATGAGGGCAACTTTTTTTTGAATAATTATTAAGGGCAACCAGCGCTCAAAAACAAAACTAATTAAGGGCAACCAGCAGGCAGCAGGTCGGCAACCCTTTTTTTGTTGTTCGATTGGGAAAAAGCAAAGCCCCGGCCTGGTCGGCAACCATGTGTCACCACATTACGGATTGATGCATGCGATCATCGCAGGTAGTGTGGTTG